TTCTTTTTCTTTTGCCTCTTTTCGGGGTTTTTCGTTGATCGCCATCGCTTGAATCCTGCCCTTTTTCTTCACTTACCTGAGTGTAATGTTGTGGGGAAGCTTTTTTGGTTGATTTTCCTTTTATTTTGCCTGTTTCTGATGTTTTACCTTGGGATAAACTAGCTACAATGCTAGGATCAGGACTGACATATTTTTTCATTATTCTGTCAGCTAACTTACCCTCACGACAATATCTGACTTGAGCGCTGTTTCATATCTTTCATGTGAGACCTGGGATCTGCTTCAAACGAACGGATAAGATTTTGAGGAGACATTCGTTCGGATTGGTATATTGTTTCTGAATTTTCTCGATTTCAGTCATCATCACGTTGATTTGTATACCGAAAAATAAATACTTCTCGGCCATTGGATGAAGGGCTTCAGATATAACTTTTAGATCGTCTTCACCTAATTCGCGAGACTCCTGGTCGGCCGCGGCCGTAGTGCTGCGCGGAGTAGCCATTGTGGCCACGCCCTTCTCTGTGAGCACGCTTTTCTCCCGTTGCAGAAACGCGGGTACTAACACCGGGGGGTATCTAAGCGTAGCCAACTTGAGGAACTATTATGTGTGTAAGTGTTGGGGTATACTCACGGCTTCTGGATGCTGCTTGCTCCGAATAGCTGCCGAGAAAACACGACTTCGTGGTGAGCTCCCGACTACTTTGGGCGTGCCAGCGATTTGTGGGTGCGGCATGAATTCGCGTCCAGCCCCCTGCGTGGCGTGACACGCGCGCGCGCGCGCGACATGAACGTAAACATAGCCGTTTGGTATACATAATGTTTTCTCTCCCCTAAGCTATATACTGTTGTCCAGTGGAACTTGGTAGAAAAAGCGTGAGCCTTTGCAGACACCTGGTTATCCTTCCTCTCAGTGTGAAACCTGGAAAGATAGAAGGAGGCAGGGGGGCAGTAATGAGTACTGGCTGGCAGCTAACCAGAGTGGGCACGACGAGCAGAGTGGGAAAAGTCGTGCCTGGTTCCTGCGGCTGGCTCCTCCAGTACTGTATCCTCCCTGTATGACATTATAGTGCCATGTGATACACAAACAACCTGTAAATGTACACTGTAACCCTTATTCATTCTCAAGATGTTCCCTAACCAGTCCCTCTAACGAAAAGAAGATGGACCTGCATTTGACACCTACAGAATGGTTACAGCCATAATCGTAAGCTCAGCTTTGCATGCTAAAAACTGTACGTTCTTCTCAAACATTGCACTATCACTCAGTAATACTCATCACTCCCACCATTGAAAATGTCTTGAATGTATAATCGTGGTCTATGGAGTTTGGGTCCTAGCTAATACTCTTCATATATATAACGATATTCCAACTGAATGCTGGTTGTGTTTCAGACTCACCTTTTCGGTGGCCACATGGTCTGTGGGGATCTGACTAGCTCTCTCCGGTGTCAAAGTCAGGGTTGACTGCCACCACCAGATCTATAGAGTTCTAATAGATAGGTGTCACATATGACACAAGTGGGAAATGAAGACCCTTACTTTTTCATATATAGAACGTTCATTGGTAATCATGCGATTCATTGGTAACCATTGCAAGTCTTGGCACTAATTGAGACCATAGGAGCTGTAAACATGCATTGCGTCTACATTCCAACAATGCTTTGCCCAGTTTTTCGCCATTAGGCCTGGCACAAGAATGTATATACTGCCGCATTCCATCACATCACTCTACATTAGTCCTCAAACTATCAGGTAAATAGAGTTGTATACGTACCGACTCCATATCCATGGCATCTTTGAGAGCCTGTGCGGCCTCGTCATGGGTCACCTCAAGAAGACTGACTCCATCACACACCAGTAGCTGGTCTCCCACATTCAGTCGACCTGTGCACATACACACATACATCCATACATTGAGATTGACGCGGATTTGTTTCATGAAAATTGCGGTATGTGTACTTTATCCTGGCTATGTGATGAGCAAATAAGCAACTGCCTGCACAGATGCCTCTAACTTTCCATCCTTATTCGTAAAGACTGCTTACATTCAAAACAAAACATAACATATACGTAGCATAGCTCTTTTACACATGGTATAGCAACATACTGTGCCCTCAAGCTATATGACTGGCATTCCGTGACTGACCATATTGTTCTGCTGCTCCACCTTCCAGAATCCTGGAGATGAGTATCTGTCCTCCCAGTGGAGTGTCTGTGGCCACCTCGAATGGCAATCTTCAGGGAGGCCTCCTGCAATTACAGCCACAGGTACATACATAACTGATATAGTGTGGCAAAAACTTGGTAGCGAGGTAGAAAGGCAAGGCAAAACAAACAAGTCCACTACACCCAGACAGCTCTTTCTTCCAAGGAAAAAAAAGAGCTGCCTTGGGTGTGATTCCAACCCACGACACTCTGCTCTCTAGGCGAGCGCTCTTTTATACATAACTAATTCGAGAGGGTAAAGTGTAGGGGAAGCAGAAGTGGGGTGCGAATTTAAATTTCAGTTTATAGTGCAGCTGTAGAGTGTAGGTGCAAATGTTTGTGTCTGGTTATTGTTGCTTCATAAGTCTTCAGTCTTTCATTGACAAAATGATTATGTATAAAGTGGTTTGTTACTAGGGAGTGTTTCACTTTATAAAGGGTAGTGGAGATTTATGGAACACTGACCTTTGGGATGGTGTGAAAGCAACTCTTCTCCTTGAAGAACTTCCTCACTGAACTGTATCACATAGTATGTGTGCGTGTGTTGAAGAAACCTCACCTCTTGGAGCTTGAATTTTGCTTTATAGTGAAGGACCGCAATTTTTAACAGCAACTGCCAAATTTTTGACAGAAATTGCACTACAAAAACTTTCTATGGGATAGCAGCTTGTTATGGGTTTGGACAGCTAATCAATGTTGGCATTAATACTTCTGAAAAAGGATCTTCTGAATGGAAGGATACTTAGTTCTCTCCTATTACGTACATTAACCTCCGATTAAGGGACACCTCATTAAAAGGACACTTTCAATGTCTCCAAGGTATCTCTGGTCTCAGTAGGTGTGTGTACACGTAAGTATAATGTGTACCTCCATGTTGCTGGGGATGAACGAAATCAGTCAGATTATCAGAGCTGCCCCTTCCGTTCCCGTCATCAACATTGATTATCTCCACCCTGGGTTTGTTATTGCAACACTATCACCTCTGCTCCTTACAGTTAGCAAAGTTTTAAGGAAACTATGAATAAGCCCGGAATATATGACAATGTTTTAATAATGTTTGATGTGTTGTGTGTATAATTATAGCTACTTGCCTTTCTCTGAATGCTGGAGTCTTCTTTTTGACTTTTAGCTGCATATTTTGATAATAACACAAGCATTATTAAGGAGCAAAGTAGTTCTGGTTAATTCCTTAGCTGAATATGAAGGCAACTGACATTCTGCTCGCTCTAAACTGATTTTACCGGAGAGTTGTGGCTGCTTTTCTTGAGGGCAGAGGCAGTTGGTTGTTTGGAGAGGTTGGGTGGCTGGTGTTTGGGTGACTGCTCATCGTCTTCCTCCACTGGGAACTGGTAGCCTGCCAGCTCTGTACGCGGGACATAAACACCACCAAAGTCATACAGTACATGCATATGTGCCAGTCTGCAACTAAGCTAGGGATTTCAGTGGAAGAACAAACAAAAAACCATAGCATATTCACCATATTGGAACCTCCATTAAAGAAAGTATCCTGGTTGGTGTAGTTGACTTGTTGGCTTTGCCTTGCCTTTCTACCTCCAAACCTCGTTGTTGCCACATGTACATATAATATGTGCCAGTCCCCAGCATTACAGAGTTTTCAGCAGAAGAGCAGATAAAAATTGTTCTTAGTGGAAGGATCCTCCGAACAAACATGTCCCTATAAAGAACACTTGATTCTGCCTCATACTACGAATAGCTATAAAATAGGGATAGCTACCTCTGACTTTTGATGTCCTAAAGGTGTCCTTTATTCCAGTGTTTCACTGCTTCAAAGACAGTGTGTATTGATATTATGTACGTACCTCTCCGGTGTATAGGAGGACTGGGTGAGGGAGGACGAGGAGGAGGACTCCGTGGTCGCGATGGTTTGGGAGCTGGCGGAGGAGGTGGGGGTTTGGGGAGGATGTGAGGAGGGGATGAGGGAGAGAGGAGCTGCTGCTGCCCGTGAGAGGCCTGTCCCTGTGGAGTTGGTGAGTTTACAGTTTACTGGGACAGTTAGGGGCGGAATTTTTGTGACCTTATGTGAAAGAGTCATGGTACGAACATTTGTGAAAGTTTCTCTCTCTAAATTTTCGTACCATAATTATATAGTACGACAATGATGGGAAACATGTATGCGGATGGTATAATAGTAAACCAATGAAAAAGTGATATCAGACTAAAATAGAGTACAGTGGAACCTCCGAACAAGGGACGGTAATGATTATTTCCCTTGTACATAGAGAGATCGTCCCTATCTCGGAGGTTCCACTGTCCTTATTCCCCCCACATCCCCATATCTCTTTTACTGAATGGATCAGCGTAGAAGCTTGCCTGGAAAACGTTGCTGAGAGAAGGAGGCATCACAGTGGATCGCCTGTTGTCGGGATCATTAGCTGGCCACAGTAGGTTGGACTCCTGTAATAATGACAATGATTATTATTAGTTATTTAAGTATGCATGGTGATGAAGTATAGGCTTAGTAGTGTTCTACTGTAAAACAGGGGAAATTTGGTGAGAGTTTTAATTGATAATTTCGAACACAGGTGTGGTGCAGTCACTTACATGATAAATTTGTTAACTATTTGGGGTCAAGCCACGTACATTAACGTAACATTAGTAAGTAAAACAGTTGCAGATTTTAAGGGTCAAACATAAAACATTACAAAAAATATTATTATAGTTGCATAATTCAGGTACAATAGGTTAATAAGGCAAGGGACCCATTGTGTAATGTGTTGTGTAAGTATAGAGTGTGTGTGTGTATAACATTATACCTGTTGTCCATCAGGTCCCATATCAGATTCCTCAGTCCCGCCCATCATTCCCACCAGGGTCGGCATGGCGATGGCTGGGCCGTAACCCCAGGCAACGGACGACGCCATGTGAGCCCCACCCTTGTCCTGTTGGATCTCCATGTCCAGGAGAGAGAGTCGAGCCGTGTTCTTGTTCCTCGCTACCTCCTCTGCTCTCTTGGCTCTCTCTGCAGCTGGTGGGTAAAAGATACATTGGTTATATTATGTAATGCACACTTTCAACTTTGCTTCAGCTTGCACCTTACTTTACTTTTTCCTATATACCCCTTTTTCCCCTATTTTATGTAACTCTGCTGTTATAATTTTGGCCCCAATGAGGAAAATTTTGTCTTAAGCATTGTTGAATTGTTTTTGTTGCATTCTCATCGGCATATTTCATAACTCCATGAACATCGTTGCTTAAAAACCGTGGAGGTTTCTTAACTCTGAGTAAATTGTCGCCTACTGATTGTGGGGGTTTATTAACTCTGAGTAAATTGTCGCCTACTGATTGTGGGGGTTTCTTAACTCTGAGTAAATTGTCGTCTACTAACCGTGGGGGTTTTCCCTTGCTCTGAGGACAAACCCAGTCCCTGATTGGTTGAGGGAGTCTCCTCCCCCACTCAGCAGCAACTCTGCGTCTACGTCAAAATCATTTGGCTTCAGTTCAAAGTCGGCCGGAGGATTTGCAAACTGGTGGTGCAGTTGACCTCTGTGGAACGACTGTGTGAAGGAAAATATTTAGCAATACGCTAGTTGAAAATATTTAGCAACACGCTAGCTGAAAATGTTTAAGCAATACGCTATATAGCTGCAATACTCCAGCTGAAAAGGTTTAGCAATACGCCAGCTGAAAATTGTTTGCAACTCCCACTACAAAGGCTTTAATAATTTTGCATATATTACAGATACGGAAAATGGATCACAACTAAAACCAATAGATTTAGTTTAGTTGGGGTATGGAATAGTAACATTCACTCTACCATAATAATATTTATGTACTATATGCCCACCACTACAAGGGCATTTATGATTTCGCATTTATTACAGACACGGAAGTTGATAAAAACGAAAACTAACCATCCTAAATACATATAGTTTAGTTGAAGTATGGAATAGTAAACTAATTTACCATGCATGTTATTGCTTTTTGTTTTAGCATACCATCCTTAAAATGTTTTTTACATACATGATACTGCTTTTTGTTTTAGCATACCAACAACCCTTAAATTTTTTAAATTTACATACATGATACTGCTTTATGTTTTAGCATACCAACAACCCTTAAATTGTTCATACATGATATTGCTTTTAGTTTTAGCATACAGAGATTTGTTAAAACAAAACCGCCATTATGGTGTGTGGGATTTAGTAGTAAGAAAGAGGACGTTCCTGACTCGGTAGGATGTTGGAATTTGGCAAAGAATTCTCTGTGAGGTAGGTCAGTACCCTCCTACCAAATTCAACTGATGAGCCTGCGTACTTGCGTGCGTCTATCACGAGACTTGAAAAATTTCTCCCTCAGAAGGTTCCCACTACTGTTACAGAGCCTCTTACTTACATGAACAATGTAAATATGGGTTTGGTACCAATTATTTTACCTCCATCTAGTACAACGCGCGTAGTGTCTTCAGTTATGCATGTGGCTGTGGACAGTAAAAATAACCAAGCACTATAGGTGTACAGGAACCTCTCAATAAGGGGCACATTGGGGTCATCAAAATTGGAGACATCAAAGTGTCCTTTATTCAGAGGTGTCCCCTTATTCTAAGGTAATAGTATGGGGTAGAACCAAGTGTCCCTATCCAGAGGGTCCTTTACTAGAGGATTGCAACGCATTGTTGGCGAGCGAGCGCGAGCAGTTCACTATTACGCGCATGTTTTGCACGTATTTAGAATCACGCAGAGCATTATGTGCAGCACCAAACAGTGCCCGACAGAGCCATCACATATACATAAATATATAGAAAATTTGTCATAAGAAACACTGTGTACGTATCTATGTACCTCTTCGACTCTGACGGTGAGCATTAGAGTGTCGCTGGACTTGAGCATCTTGATGGCATCCTGATGAGAGATGCTCTGCAAACTCTGTCCATTCACTTCAAGTATCTCATCTCCAACCTGAAAAAATATTCTGTGTTGATGGTGGTTTAAAATTTTGGCAAGCAAGTGGAGGGAAGGACATGCCAACCAACCATCCTGAATACCTTGACTATAGCTGGGAGTATGCAGTGAAAGAATAGGGTGGCCTAAATTGTTTGTACTTTTAGCAGGCAAGTGGAGGGAAGGACAGGCCAACCAACCATCCTGAATGCCTTGACTATAGCTGGAGTGTGCAGTGAAAGAATAGGGTGGCCTAAATTGTTTGTACTTTTAGCAAGCAAGTGGAGGGAAGGACAGGCCAACCAACCATCCTGAATGCCTTGACTATAGCTGGGAGTATGCAGTGAAAGAATAGGGTGGCCTAAATTGTTTGTACTTTTAGCAAGCAAGTGGAGGGAAGGACAGGCCAACCAACCATCCTGAATGCCTTGACTATAGCTGGAGTGTGCAGTGAAAGAATGGGGTGACCTAAATTGTTTGTACTTTTAGCAAGCAAGTGGAGGGAAGGACAGGCCAACCAACCATCCTGAATGCCTTGACTATAGCTGGGAGTATGCAGTGAAAGAATAGGGTGGCCTAAATTGTTTGTACTTTTAGCAAGCAAGTGGAGGGAAGGACAGGCCAACCAACCATCCTGAATGCCTTGACTATAGCTGGAGTGTGCAGTGAAAGAATAGGGTGGCCTTAATTGTTCGTACTTTTAGCAAGCAAGTGGAGGGAAGGACGGGCCAACCAACCATCCTGAATGCCTTGACTATAGCTGGAGTGTGCAGTGAAAGAATAGGGTGGCCTAAATTGTTCGTACTTTTAGCAAGCAAGTGGAGGGAAGGACAGGCCAACCAACCATCCTGAATGCCTTGACTATAGCTGGAGTGTGCAGTGAAAGAATAGGGTGGCCTAAATTGTTCGTACTTTTAGCAAGCAAGTGGAGGGAAGGACAGGCCAACCAACCATCCTGAATGCCTTTGACTATAGCTGGAGTGTGCAGTGAAAGAATAGGGTGGCCTAAATTGTTCGTACTTTTAGCAAGCAAGTGGAGGGAAGGACAGGCCAACCAACCATCCTGAATGCTTTGACTATAGCTGGAGTGTGCAGTGAAGGAATAGGGTGGCCTAAATTGTTCGTACTTTTAGCAAGCAAGTGGAGGGAAGGACAGGCCAACCAACCATCCTGAATACCTTGACTATAGCTGAAGCAAATGAGAAAATAGGGAGGCTTAAACTTTACATACTTTTAGCAAGCAAGTTGGGGGAAGAACGGGCCAACTAACAATCCTGTCTATAGCTGGAGAGTGCAGTGCTAACAATTCTCAGAATTTACTAGAAAAAAATAGCTGCATTGGTCTATTGATGTTAATTTCAAGGTATTATATATAGGCCTACATTACTGTTTTATGAGCAAGTATAATACATACATACCTTAAGTCCGGCATTGTGGGCAACAGAATTGGGTGTTATGTCCACAATATGAACTCCACTGTGGCTGTCTGCGCTGGTCTTTATGCTACATATCAACACAGAGATATGTCGGGCTATAGGTACATAATGAGTAGCTTCTCTTTAGCTGCATACATACGTATGGAGGGATAGTGGATGGAATGATATGGACAAGGGAAAAGGTAATGCTTCTCTTAGCTGCATACATACGTATGGAGGGATAGTGGATGGAATGATATGGACAAGCGAAATGGTAATGCTTCTCTTAGCTGCATACATACGTATGGAGGGATAGTGGATGGAATGATATAGACAAGGGAAAATGTAACGCTGGTATGGTGCAACTTCAACCATCAAAAGGTTACTATTACAATGATTGAATACTGCTTATGGTGAATGTGTCGTTTCACTATGACGTTTAAGGCATTTTGGGCACTTTGATTTTCCAAGTACTGTACTCTATATATGCAGTTTTACTCCATAGTATGTAGCGATACGTACGCGTCAAGTTTTCTATCCCAAAATTCCATATACGCATGATTTCATAATGATGCAAGGTTAAACCAACAAAGTATGCTGTACATTTTGCCTTATTTCCCGGTGATGTCATAGGTATATATTTGAGCGTGGTATGGTTTCCGTAGTGTATCTAAACATCGTTACAAAAACTATTCAAACTGAGCACTTTCGGGAACGGCCACGTACGTATGTACGTTAGCTGAACTGAACTGAGCCAACGACATCTACATACGTGTGAACCTATCTACCGAGTGACAGGTGCAACCTTGAAAATGTAGTTTGACGTACGTATGAAAGTAAAAAAACAACATCAGGGACAAAGTGTTATGGCACAAAACCATGTGTCCTTTCTAAGATGTCCTTTTTTTTTCGGAGGGTCCTATTTCAGAGTTTTAACTGTTTTAATACCAGTATTTAAGTTGGTAATTATATTTTGCATTTTCAATCTGATTCAATTCAGCTGATGAAGGTCTACGGACCGAAACGTCGATGTTTCCTTGCTATGAAAAGCTGATCTATTTTCATTTCACCTACAAACCTAGCACCAAGTATATATTTTTGAGACTTCACTGTGTAATGCCATGACATAATAATATAATACTACGTATGTTATAGTACCTAGCACCCAGTACAGTGCTCCCATCCATGTTGACTTGAACTCTGCGAGCACACTTCACAATAGGTCCCTGGGTGGCCTGCAAAGAATAATAGATAGGTCATTAATGATGATGTCAATATTACCTCATAGAGAACACCTATAGCAGTGTATGTAGGGAGATATTTTCAAACAAGCAAAAGGGCGCCCTTTTCTAGCTCTCTTGGCACAGAATGCAATACGGGTTTGTTGGGTGTAAGATCACACTTGCGTACCGCGTGGTCTTGAGGCTAAAGGCTGCACCAGTGGTGCATAGGATCCCGAGTTTGAAATCCAGCTTCAGTGCTTTTATCTTTCACCTCATTGATTATTTATAGGGCATGCCCGCCACACCAATAGGGTTTCAATGTACTTAGTAAATCATAAGAAAAGCCATAAGGTTTTGAGATCTGATGCTATAAACAAAGCAGCCAATAGTAGTACGATTTTCTACTGAACTGAGTGTACTTGAAATTTCATGCAAGTTTACCAGTCGAGAGCTGGATGTGTGGTGCTTCTTGTTGTCTCGCACTACAGTCATCCAGGTTATCTCACCTGTGGTAGGACTGGAAACAAAGTAGACATTACAAATAGATCGCAGAATATTACATCTTAGGTATGAAGTACTTAGAGGGAATTGGGAAGACCAGCTTTATCTGGGAGTTGGAGCTCAGTGCACTGGATTTCAAGCAGAGTTCGACTCCCGACAAACGTTGGTTCTTTCTCTTTCCCTCCTAACACGTGATACTTTGATTATTTGAGTCATAATGTAGTTCCAGTACGTGGGTGATAAGTAATTATTTTCGTCATTTCTAATCTATGGCTGTTTATGTCCTTTGGGTGTGTTTGCGTATGTAGTCGCTTGGACACCACCAATCTGTTTCAGCTTAGTTCACGTGGATACTAACATGCTTATTTGGTGTATCACAAATGAACAATTTCCAAACTGACTTAGGTGTGGTTTGGAAACGGGCCTGCAACTTGAATCCGTCCACATTGATGCATGTGTATGAATCTGTGTATATACAATTTCTATCATGAAGACTGAAAAATCCGGCATAATACTTATTGGAAGGATTGATGTCGAAGCTGCATGCGTACACTGTGTATGTGGAAACCAAAGATAATTGCATGTACAAAGTTAATTGCCGAGCGCGTTAGCGTGAGGCAACTACTCCGGGTTGTATTCTCGCGATGTATTCTCGGGATGTATTCTCGCGATATGCGTACGTACGTGTCGGTCACGCTTAAGAATGTCAATTAGTCACGCTAGGGGAATGTAAATTATTCACGCTTAGGGAATGTCAATTAGTCACGCTTAGGGAATGTAAATTGGTCACGCTTAGGAATGTCAACTTCCGTCATTCGTAAGAAGTCTAGCTTCCGCCGTGCGCGCAGATTCGTAGGAAGTCTGGCTTCGCGCGCAGTCAGTAGAGCGCGTGCGAACGAGCGGCCTCAGCGGACTGTTTACGGACTGTTTACGGACTGTTTACGCACGCATTGGCTGGCAGGCGCGAGGCAAGATATGCGCGTGCGCATTCCTAGTATGTATATATGCTGTTGGATTTGTTGAGCCATATCATATATATCCTTCACTTTAATTGACATGCAGAGCCCAGTAACTCTGTGTGTGATTGAGCACACGAGAAACTAGTAACCTAACACGTGCATAGGAGCAGTCCGTGGTAACAAGGTGGACTACTGAAAGCCACATACGTTGCTACGTCATACGTACCTCTGGTCTGGAATCATCCCCACACCTACACGGAAGAGATACGAGATAATAAAACTGGAACGTGGCAGTGGTACGTATGTAACTCACTTTTGCAGGTCAAGAGGAGTGTCTTCTTTAGTTTGATGAGGTTCACGACCTCTTCGTTGGTTGCTTGGCAGAGCGTTAGCCCGTTCACTCTAACTATCTCATCTCCCGGCTTTTGGGTAAGATAGAGAAGGGAGAAAGAGCGTTTTTGTAAGTAACAGAGCTTCTTTGTATGAGTGATTCAGCCCAGCCAGCCGAGCTGCCTCAGTAGCTCAGTTGGTGGAGCCCTCTCTAGAACACAGAGTGCTCTGCCTTGCTCTGTATGAGTGATTCAGCCCAGCCAGCCGAGCTGCCTCAGTAGCTCAGTTGGTGGAGCCCTCTCTAGAACACACAGAGTGCTCTGCCTTGCTCTGTATGAGTGATTCAGCCCAGCCAGCCGAGCTGCCTCAGTAGCTCAGTTGGTGGAGCCCTCTCTAGAACACAGAGTGCTCTGCCTTGCTCTGTATGAGTGATTCAGCCCAGCCAGCTGAGCTGCCTCAGTAGCTCAGTTGGTAGAGCCCTCTCTAGAACACAGAGTGCTCTGCCTTGCTCTGTGTGAGTGATTCAGCCCAGCCAGCTGAGCTGCCTCAGTAGCTCAGTTGGTAGAGCCCTCTCTAGAACACAGAGTGCTCTGCCTTGCTCTGTGTGAGTGATTCAGCCCAGCCAGCTGAGCTGCCTCAGTAGCTCAGTTGGTAGAGCCCTCTCTAGAACACAGAGTGCTCTGCCTTGCTCTGTATGAGTGATTCAGCCCAGCCAGCTGAGCTGCCCCAGTAGCTCAGTTGGTAGAGCCCTCTCTAGAACAGAGAGTGCTCTGCCTTGCTCTGTATGAGTGATTCAGCCCAGCCAGCCAAACCTGCATTACATACCTTCAGTCCATTTTGTGCAGCTTTGGAAGAAGGCAATACACTTGAGACAAAGATGCCACATCCAAACTCTCTTCCTGCAAAGGAAATGACCTAATTCACTGAGTAGTCCCCTTACTACGTATAATCTGATTCATGGTTGTGTGTATATAATTATAGTGCATATACATACGTAAGCCAAACTCTATATGTTACTGTTGTGTACCCAATACTCAATCAAGGAAACGAGTATTGTGGAAATAGACACTAGTGGATGGGACAGGTGTTGATATTAGTGACGTGTTTCTAGTTCAGGGGTATATATAAATAACTCTTTGGGGAGAGAAAAGTGTCCTTATAGAGGTGCCCTCATTCACGTATTACGTATGATTGTACAACCCATGGTCATGCATTATGTGCATACCTCCACGGATAGTGAAGCCAAAACCAGCTCCTCCTGTCTGTTTGATATTCACCACTTTCCTCTCATTTCTGTAACGATGCTTCTGACATGATTATGTTGTCCCATATTCACATTATGCATTCAATGTTACAACAATGAATAACATCATTGAATTTGATTCATGACCACCACCACATACACTGATGATGCTACATACTAAAATGAAATACTCTCGTAAAAAAGACTTCTTACGTGGGGACATGAGGTAGGAGGGAGTTGTATTCTTGCCTCAGTCGACTTGGAACGAGTGGCCTGCATGTATAAAAGACAAACACAAACGATAAAATTTGAGGAAATATTGTATATATTACAGAGCTTTATCTTTCCCCCCTATATATTTTTTTTATAGCATTGCAATAAGCATGTGGCCCAATCTTCCAGCATGAGTCACTTAAATTTAAATTCACAGCTGTTCTCAATGCGATCTGAGAACCATAACAGGCTTCTTTACTGTGGCTCACTGTGTATTGATAACTGTTCAGTTGGAAAGTGTCAGCATTCAGCAATGTATTGCTATTGGGCGGTACAAAAAGGACAGTATTTAGATGTATGACTGACCTAATGGCGTAGTAGAGCTGTCGGCGCTTTGGAGCATTCAGCAAGTTCTTTAGGTTCTCAATAAGATCCTCCACAATGTATGTGCTGAAGGATGCCAACCAACCAAACATATGCCAACCATCATCCAGCAGAGAGAATGAGTTTGCTTACTCGTGGAATTCTTTTAGGTATTTCTGCAGTTTAGCTCTGTCGTCTGGTGTCTCGAGTACCATTTGAACCTGCAATAAAACGCGAGTGTGTTGCTTCCAGCCCCGCCCCCTTTTTCTGCACAGCTACTTACTTATAGCTAGCCTCGAAATCTCTTGGTGCAACAGCCGCGTGACAAAAACCCGCATTCGCTATATATACGCTAACTCTAGTACTCTGCCTCCGCCATACACCCCCCCACAGCCTCCTCGCGTCGACGAAACTCACCATTCTCTTGTAGGCAGCCACGTACGAGCGCTTGTCGGGATAGTGAGACGGCGACATTTGCTGCACCGTCTCCAGTTTAGTCGGGGACAGGCTCTGGTTCATAGCAACCGACATTCTTTCTCTGTCCCGTCTCTCTGACGTAGTTCTTATTTCTCTACTTTCTTCGCCTCGTTATAATTGCGTGCCACGCCCATTTGATCGGTGCGGTCGGAAACGAGGTCGCAAACGATTTGCTGGGGACGGGAATTCACAGCGGTGACCGGATCTGACCTGTGTCGCATTGCTTTCGCACGTGTGTCTGTCTCTTCCGCTCTGCAAAAGGACGGCGGCGGCTGCGCGCTGCACAAGGCTAAAAAGGGCTTGTACCGGGCTGCACAGGTCGTTTGTGTAGTTTGTGGGTGAGCGTTTGATGTGTTACGGAAAACAGAAAAGACCTGACTTTCTAGCCGTTGCTGATACTGCTGGATTTTGTCTGCGCGTGGAGTAGAGCGAAAACTGGTGAGTTGTGCATTTTTTCTTGCTGTATATTTGTGCTGATTGCGTGGCTATTTGGCGTTCTTGCATTCCTGCTCCTCCAACATAATCGTTTTAGCTACGCCTCATTGGATGCTCAGAGGCTTGTGGTAGCTAAATTCAGTGCGCTTTTGCGAGCGAGTTGTTGTGCGTTAGCCGTAGCTCATTACACAGCGAGCGCGGTGCAGAACGTTGAAACCGCCGTTCAGCGTGAGACGATCGAAGCGAGAAGTCAATCATACACAATCATGGCTGCGTTCAAACGCCCAGCCTGGGCCGACTGCCCACCGAGTGTTGTCTCGAGCTGTTCATCAGCAGC